ATATATATATATATAAACATTAATAAGAATATCAATAATGGCACACATATGCTGAAATTGTAACCATCGTGTTTTTTAGTTTTATTATGCGTTTTTGCCGTGCCATGTTACAGCGCTGCAGCAGGCAGCAAAAACGGATATTGAGACGACCCTGTTCGTCTGTCCGGATATTTCTGCTCGCCAACCACACAAGCCTTGATGCTGAAATTTTGCCAGTGTATCCCCTGGCCAAGTGCAACCCCAGGAACGTACGATCAACTGTCACGCATGCCTGTGTCTCACGTAAGCAAACGTGAAAGTTTCGGCGGAAAAAGTGCTAAATCGGGAACGAGAAAAGCCAGACAGCTGAAACTTTAGGACAATGTTTCGTATACAAAAGATTTCAAACTCAACTCCCTAGAACCACCCGGGACTAACGTACAGACGCGTGAGGATTTTGGCGGGAAGATTATTGTTCCGGGAGCGAGAAAAGCCGGGAAGCTGGAATTTTAAGGGAATGCACCCTACTCATGTGCGACTGAAAGACTTCAAATTCAGCACTTTCGAGCTGCCCGGGAGTCACGTACGCGCACGTGAACGTATTGACGGGAAAATTGCTAACTCGGGAATGAGAAAAGACTGGAAGGCTGGAATTTTAAGGGATTGCTCCCTAATCACGTGCGACTAAAAAATTTCAAATTCAGCTCCTTTAGTGGGGCCTTTTTTGCGCAACAGCAACTTTCCATTTGTTGGGTCACTGAAGCCGACATCTACAAATGACATGCCACTCAGCTGCATAATTAACTTACTGAACTTCGAGAGCCAGTATATCACAAATCACAAAGCTACTGTGTTTCCTTGCGTTCTTGCTACAGCACGAAATAGTGCAAAAACGCATGATCACACCGGTCGGCCTGGTGCGTTCAGCCTTATTTGCGTAAAAGCATGTGAAAAATAGAGACGCAGATGGTTGATCAGTCTTATGCCCCATGGTCACAAATTTATTTTGTAACTTGCTGGAATCCGTTGCACCCCCGGCACATGAAAAAATGTTGCATACTCAGATTACAAGGAAGCATAGCGCTGCCCTTTCACCCCCACATTTTCTCATATGTTCACAGTTTTTGTATGTTTTTACAAAAATTTTTACTGGTAGCTAAATGAGGATGGTAGAGCGGCAAACCTTTGAGGATGTCCAAACAGATTCGTCCTAATTTGTCGATATTTGGATGGTAGATTTTGGTCATGAAGCGAACTTTCGGGGCAGACATTGGGTACTCTTCGGGCAGAAAGAGCTCAAGCTTGAAGACGCCGCCATCAAATGGGCTGCCCTCTGGACCAGCAATAATTACATGGAAGTAGCGCGCATTGTGATCATCCGGTACTGCTGAAATCCCCGGCACCGGATCCGCCATCAAGCGTTCCGTTTCTTTTGTGATACGGCGCGGCAGTGCTCCGGCCATTCTGGCTCCTGGCTGCTGCTTTCCTGAAACAAATCGAATGCTTCTGGTTAAAAAGCGCAGCTGCAGCTCACCT